CTCAATGACTTTGTCAATTCTGAGTTTCAAAACTGCACTTTAACGTCTCTTCAATAGTTATTCATCGTCGATGTTCATATCAACGGCTACCAACCATACATCATCGTATTTTGACAGCTGGACATGTGCCATTGAGGATTACTGATGTCGGTTGACATTTGTTAATCCCTATGCTTGTCGATGAGCCGACATGCTTGTAGTGGTGCTAATATGATATGCACGTGATTGTCCTTACTAATGTGTCATTCACGAGTTTATTCTTACTCATGTGCCAGGCTCATGCTTGTCAAGGACCGGATTGTTTTTGGTGTCAACAAAGGCACATCTTCAGCAACAGCAGTACACACTGACTATTACCACTCCTCTCGATCTCGAACTCCACGTTACGACAGGCGCCTATGTTTGTATTTGATGAAACAGTTTTGTGGAAAATTTTCCTTAAATCGGCGAAGCATGCCCTATTTTTTCAATATGTTAAATGTTATTTTTTCCAGAAAACATCACTCAGTCCAATGCATAATCCTTGTTACATGTTTTTGAATTCGAAGGAGCACGAGCACGAGCAAAGACCAAGCAATACCGGCTCCACTCCAAATGGTATATCTGGTCAACGTCCACAGCTTTTTCTGCACTCAAGTACAAGCCAATATATATAGTAGTTGTGCATGCACAAATAGTAAAAATTGTCATCGATCTGGTGATGGCGATAAGTGCACGTACGTTGTTCTGAGGAAATTCATTTAAAGATCATCGGGACAAACACGAGAATCCACTATGGATGCATACATATATGATTCATGTGTATAATCATTGCCCATTTCGAGGTATAAATTATTATTTCACCAAGTCAAGGTATATTATTGGCCAAATTCGATATTTGATATGAGACACGTGAATGCAGCTATGTAGATAGCATGAAATTCTTGATCTTAAAGAGTCAAACCTACTGATAGAAACAAATCCTTTCTGGACATTCTCTACCTTCCGGCTTCCACCAAGTCTTTTTGATTTGAATCTTTTTCTGCTTACTAAAATCTTTCATGAGCCCTCCCTTACTCATTCCACAATGCAAACATTGGAACTTGATGAACCAAGTTCAAATTTTCCAACCTATTGGCCCCGTTATGATCACTCCCATTGCTGCCATCTTCGTATTACTGATCCTGCAATGAGAAGTAAGCATGACAGTAATCTTCACCGCCGCCACATCCAATATCATTGGAGCTTCCGTACGAACACTTGTGCCTCGCCACTACGCTCGACGATTCTTGATGATTGCTCGAGCCCATGATCAAGGCATCGCCATTGGTAGTGTTTGCGTTCGTTGGAGGATCTTGACGTTCGGGCATGTTGGAGCTCCCCACCATGTTGGTAAAATCCTCTGACGTCTTGCCATTGGTCATCGCAAGAAGCGCTTGCAGAGACGACGAGGAGGCGCACGAGTTGTAGTCGTGATCGAGATGGGCCGGTGTAGCCTCTTTTGGGGAGCGTTTAACGAGATCACTTGCTATCAGAGTGGAGCTCGAGCAAATTCTCTTCATGTCGTAAAGGCTAATATCGAAGTTTGTGACCGCATTTGTTCCCCCAAATATGATGGCTGGATGTCATAGGCTTCTGCGGCGTCCTCTTGGGTACCTAAATTAAACAGAGAAGAAAGCGCCATGTAAATAATTGAGGATGATTGTACTAGGTATGATACAAAATCTTCAATCAAAAGGATAGGCATGCATATTTTCGACATGTCGGATCCTTGTCATGCTTGAACATATTCGGCATCCAAGCTCAAACAATTGAATAAACGGATTGAAAATGTACATGATATAAAATCCAGTAGTAACTAATATATTGATTATCTGATACAGTTAAAACTTGAGACAAATAGAGCCCAATAATACTTCCTAATTCTTGAGTGGACAGGTATAGATAGCCTCTTGTTAACGGTCATCTCGTGAATACTTGTTAAACAAATTTCATATAGGGCAACCTACATCTCCTTTTCGGTTCAAACATCGAAAGCGATTAGAGTGCGATAATTTCATATATTCCTAGAAAAGATAACTAAACATGCAAAGACCACGTTCGTCAAAGAGCATTTAACACTAGTTGGCATCAAGAAAAACCTAAACATCAAAAGAACATACAAGTAACTTTATATGCTTTTTCGATGAGAATTCCACGTTGAGATAAGAAAATCAGGAAGGAAGGTGGGAACTTAACTGAATGTGCTAAGGTACAAGTCCTTGTTACCAGCAACTCTTCCGATTCTAGCTTGCCACCGTCCATGTTGATGGTGTCTAGCAATCAAGAAAGACAGCTTTTGACAGATAAGAAGAAAGGAGACAAGAAAGAAAGATTGTTCGATAGATGGAGGAGACCCTCTTCAATAATGGCACCAGTTGATTTATGTCACATGGAAAATTGCAACCTTTATGTTTTGCCTGTTATTGCAAAAGATAACTTATAAAAAAGAAGAAAAGAAAAGAAAAGAAAAGAAAGAAATGAACACCCTGAAAAGTGCAGTAAATAACGTGCACTTCATCAAATCCTGCCGCCAAACCCAGTCACTCCTCTGTATACAGATGCTCCTCTTGAAAATCCACTGCTTTTCTTGTTAAAATAAATAACTACAAATATTATATATAAACCCACACTTGTCAATCATTTTTCTAATTATTTTGGCCAAAGTAAGATTAACCTAAACCTATAATTACCTTGTTAAGTGGGCAACAAAGTCTTGCCGGGTCATGTTCTTCATTTCCTTAAGTTCCTTCTAATAAGTGCTCAACCGAACAATTCACAAAATGAGAAGAGTTAATACAAATAAACACCTTTTGCTTTTATTTTATTTTTTCAGATACAGAGGAGTACTTTCCTAGGGATTATTCAACAAAAACTGGCCGGGAAGTTTATGTGGGTAGTTGGATCCCAATACTTCAGTGCAGCCAAATCATAAGCCCTCGCTGCCTTTTCTTCCTTATCATGCCCACCTGATAAACATCCACATATCCTCATAATCAATGAAATACTAATAAGAAATCAAAGTGCACATCAATCGTACTTTACAAAAACTCTTTACAAAGGAGACGACAATTGACCGTGGTTCAAGAGGTAATAATACCCATGTTTTGTATGAATTATCAATGGCAATCGTCATATCATCCTTTAGAAAAAACATATATTAGTAATTTTCTCTATATACAAAAGACAAGCATAAAAATAAGAGAATGGGTCGGAGCATTTAACTAGATACACTACCAAGTGTGTTCAGTGAGAACCGCCCCAAGCAAAGCACGGTCAAGAAAAATACACTAATAACGCCATCATCATAAGAAAATTCTTCAAGATGCAGAAACCTTGGGAAAGAAAAGAATAATAAGAATGTGAAATGATTACTCCTATTAATTTTTCTCTAACTTTGCCCCCCCCTCCTCCCCCTTTTCTGGTTTGCCCTTCTTTCCTGCAACTGTTTTCCCACAGATGAGCCTCATATCTCCCCGTCCACCTATGTCTGCTTAAACATTTACACAAATCCAAAAACGGAAAAACAAAACCCCAGTCTTCGATTAATTCAATAACTGGAATGCAAAATGCAGATGCATAGAGCAAATAAACTAAAAGGCAATTGTAAAAGTTAATATTATCGCGGAAGAAAGAGCAAAATTGGCATCAGCAGTACTAAAAACAGAAAAAGACTACTTTCTTTAAAACATTTGTAGCTTACCGAGTTACACCTCGATACTGAGAGGTCCTTTGCCCAAAAGTGTCAGTAAGACTTACGAGGAACAGCGACGCACTTGCTGTTGTTGTTGCTCGCAGATGATGCCCTCTTGGCGATGCTACCGTCACCAACTGGTGGTGCCTGAGAAATCGGTGCACCACCACCCACATTGTTGTTGTCACTTTGTGCGCTAGGGCTCATCGTTGTGAGAGAGAGACTGCCGCTACTACTTGTAGTAGTCCCATTCACTTGACGCAACCACCACTTGAACCCAGAAACTGAACAAGTTGTTACACTCGCACCACCATCAAACGGGACATGTTCTTGGTGGTGGTACATGCGATCATCGACATCACATCTGTGGTTGTTGCTGTTATGGTGAGCAGATGGAACTATAAGGGCTTGCGAGTTCTCAATGTAACATTGATGTTTATGATCAGGGTGGTTGCCGTTGTTAAAGCAGCTCGGAGATACGTTCGCGTTGATCCCCGCACAAGCTGAGCTTGTGGCTTGGTGGTTCTGATTTTGGGGCTCATCATTGCCATGAGGAGAGCCTGAGTAGCAACAGCCCAAGAAGTCTTCAAGCTTGGGGCCTCGATGATCGTCCCCATCATTGGCATTCTCATAGCTCCATTCTGAATAAACAAACAAGCCCATGAAATAAACGAGGAAGACTGAAACAACCACCATAAAATGTCAACTTTGCTAGTTTCGTTAGCAGGGAAATGGATGCAAGAGATTCTCATGGAAATTGGTCAAACAGTTGGAAAGCACGACATGACATGCGTAGAGAGATTCGATGCCTATTTATTTTTTTCGGGACAAAAAGCAGTTAGATCATGCGTATTTATTTCCGTTATTAAGAGTTTTAGAGATCGAGAAAATATTAAGTCCATGCTTAGCGTAGGACGCCTTGATGGTGGTTGCCACTGCATCGGCGTGCTCGTGAGCGGGCCGTCCATAGCTGGCCGGTGATGCTCAATCCACGAAACGTCGTCCGTGGCACCTCATAAGGCAAAAAGGAGAGGAAGAAAATGGCGAGAGGAGAGAGAGCAACGAAAGAGAGAGGAATAACCGAGGAGAGGAGAGAGTAAACGGTTGAAAAGTGGGCCCATTTTGGCCACGTGTCCATCATATGATTCAATGCGTATCCCACGTGGGAATGCACCTTATATTTTTTTGTCCGAGAGAAAAGGGGGAGCGAAAAGTTTCCCTCTTTATCTAAAAGAGACAAGGGCGCGGAATTTTCGAAATAAGATAAATAAAAACAAAAGACAAAAAGGGCGTACTCCCCGTCCGAGTCCGTTGGAGACGATCATTTCTTCCTTCTGCTCTGCTTCCTACTATCAGCAACAATCTCGAAGCTTCTTCCCTTAAACCTCTCTACGCAGATGGTGAAGTCGCAAATGGCTGTCCCTCCCGATGCGAAGAAGAAGCTCTCCCGCCTCAAATCGGCCGTCGCTGGCCTCAGTCTGATCAGGTTCCCTCTTCCCCTGTGTCTGCGCGCGATCGTGGGTGTTTACGGTTTGTTTTCCGGCGAGAGGCGGTCTGTTGATTGCACAGGGTAGAGCGATGAGTTTGTTTGATCGCCGGTTCTTAGGTGACTTTCCTGTCTAGTAAGACCAGTTTCTGGTCCCGTGCGCGTGTTGGAAAGCATGATCTCTGCTTCGTTTTCATTTTCTTTCACAGCGAGAGTGAGAAGAAAGGGTTCATCGACATCGCGTCCCGCTATCTCAGGTGAGTAGGAGGAGGTTGTTGATGGCACATTTTTCTTTATCACCATTCATCATCGTTTTCCTGGTTTCTTCGATCCTTCATTGTTGCTTGCAAGCTCAAATTCATCGATGTTTCAAATCGAGTTAGAGGTACAGTTTGGTTTCTTAGCTTAGCTTTGTTGCATTCTCAGCGGAAAAGCTCTACCTGTTGAATGGAGCAAGATCCAGGCGCCCACCGACGAATTTGTCGTACCTTATGATAGTTTGGCGCCGGCTCCTGAGGGTATTAACTCTACCTGCTCATTGTCCGATTTTGTGTTCGCCTGATATTATTCTTTTTCTCCACCAATGAGATTATGATTCCTAAAATTGTGTAGATCCTGCGGTGGCCAAGATTCTTTTGGACAGGCTCGTCGTTCTGAAGCTCAATGGTAGTTTGAAAACAATAATGGATTGTACTGGTCCCATGTATGCCTCATGATCTTATATTTCACATATGTTTGATAAAACGATCTCCTTCTAGTTTAATGGATCTCATTGTCTGTAGGAGTGGGATAATTTTTTCTAGGATAATGTGTTCACACTGGTAGGACGTGGAAATCATCCCAACTGCTCTCTCCCAAATGATATCGCTATTTGCATTTTGATTTTGGTACCATCAGATGTGTTTTGAGATGCACGATCTCACCGATGTGTCTGTTTGATCTGCTTGGTGCTTCCTTGATCTTATTTAGTTGTAGTAAGGCTGTAATTGTAGCTTCCTCGGAACTTTTACCATGTCTGCTTGGAGAGTTGTTAATGTCCTTGTATATGTTTTATAAGCCGCCTGTGTTAATACTTGATGTTTCTATTGTGATGTAGATCTATCATGGAAGTACTCGATGGAATGACATTTCTTGACCCTATAGTTTACCAAATCCAGGTAATTCTTAAGTTTTCCATGTAGTGCGTGTGTTTCCTTAGCTCTATTCCTTCTGATCACATCTTCCTGCTCTTCATATAGGATCTTAACACTAGATATGGCTGCAATGTTCCCCTGCTTCTCATGAACTCGTTTAACACCCAGGATTGTATGCCGAAGGTGAATGGCTTTCACCCTACCTCTTTGTTGATAGTTTAGTTATTTTGATCAGTAATTGACACATTGCCCTTGTTGTAGATTTTTGAAAGACATCCCAACTCAAATATTGCTATTGCTACTTTTGATCAGGTTTGTGATGCAAACTATTGGTTAGCTGCTTAGATCTGCTTATGAGTTTATTCTAGAATTGACTAAGTCATTTTTATCTCGACTGTCTTGATTGAATTATATACAGAGCCGGTATCCCTGCTTAGATGTTGATGATTTTATGCCTCTGCCTTGCAAAGGACTGACTGGAAGCGATGGATGGTAAAATTTTGGTTAAATATCAAGCATAAGGACTTCAGTTTTCATGATCATGATGCTTTCTTCTTTAAATTTCTGGGGTCATTTTTGCATCAAAATGATTTTGCTTCAAGACAGGTCATTTGAAAAAAGCGGCTGTCATTGTAGGTCTTTCAGTTCGCTGTATCTAAGTCATTAGTCCTTTGGAATTCCACCTTTTACGACTTTGTAAAACCTGGATGTGGTAACAATGCATGCCGGCTTGAGCAAATTAAAATTGATGCATGAAGTTATTTGCCACCAATATCTGGCCTTAATAGATATAACAGTTGAACTTGACTTTTAATTCTTTCGACAACAATTTCTGACTAATCACTATCTCTTCATTCTTTTGTGCTTTTTATACTTTTTAATAGACAGAATTCTACTATCTCGATTGGATTCTTTGTCATAAACTTTTAATGGGAAACCTTTGATGTAACCTTTCTCTCATCTCAAATGCTCTACACAGGTATCCCCCAGGTCATGGTGATGTATACCCATCCTTGATGAACAGCCGTAGACTTGATGCTTTGCTCTCACAGGTTTTCTTTTATCTCTATCAGCGTTAGTACATTCCTCTTACTTTTTCCTTTTCGTTTGCTTATTCCCTTTTCTCTCACTTTTCATGTTTACAGGGCAAGGAATATGTTTTTATTGCCAACTCAGATAACTCGGGTGCAATTGTTGACCTGAGTATCCTTCCATTCTTAGTTTCTTCTGATATCTGTGGTTTCTGGATTTAATCACATGTCTCTGTACTTCCTGAGTTTAGTTTGAAAATTGGGCCCGTTGATAATTTTTTGTTGTTTCGTTGACCTTAACTAAATCCTATAGAAATCTTAAATCATTTGATGACAAACAGGAATGAGTACTGCATGGAGGTAGATGCGGAGGATTGTGGTGAAGAATTGTTTTAATAGATTGGATTTGTATTAAATTGCTCACAATTTTGCAGGTTACTCCAAGGATGTTATGTGACAAGAAGGGTGGTAGCCTCATTTCTTATGAGGGAAAGGTTCATGTAAGTAACATCATTTTATTTGTTAGTTATTATTGCGAGATAGCTTTCTGTTGTTCAAATTATGACACAGGCTGCAAAGTTCCCTCGAATACATTAAAAGTCCAATTCTTTCTGATGGTTAAGATAACTAGAGTCTCAACAAACTTACATTTCCCAGCAAATCTGAGAATGGAACCTTATTTGATTTTGACATCTCAGAGATTCCATCCATGGATGTTTTTCAGATTAATTCGGTGCCATGATATTTATGTATTGTCCCTTGAATATCTTTAACTTCTTAAATTCCCCTCGGAACTGACTTTATTGATCCTAGCTTTCATAACACTGGATGGACATGGGTTTGGCAGTAATGCAAACATTGTGCTAAAATGAAAACTTTTACGTCTTTTTCATATTTTTCATTTCAATTGTAAATAGAACATGTTATTTCATGGAAAAATCACAGACATGTTCATAAGCTGGATTTACTCTAAAACTGAAAGTCCAAGGGGAAAAGGGATTCATGACTGACATACTTCTGTCACTTATTTCAGCTGCTGGAAATTGCACAAGTCCCAGATGAACATGTGAGTGATCCTTATTCTCCCCTTTTCCTTTATTTCCATGGTCTGAAGCATGCATTGGGTCTATCAGAATTTGTACGTCTACTACAATTCCACTGCATTTTTGTTTCTTGACCTCTTATTGAGATTATGTGGGAATTAAGGGAGTCATAGTGGTACTTAGGCTACATAACAGCCCACGAGGAAATTAATACCCTTGTTTTGGCAACATTAATTTGTTTTAAGATGATTTAGTTGGTAGACTAGTTCGCTCTGTGCTACCTCTAATATGTCAATGCGAAGGCCAACAACATATGTGTCTGCCATCTTGAATGTTGTCAATGACTCCTGCTTATCGGCATCTTCTAGGTAGATATTGACCTTATCTCTGAGATCATGGCATTTATCCTGGTGACAGCCTTGAGATGTTTTACTATGACTTTCTAAAACTATAAATTCGGAGATCAGCATCACTTAAATGTGATATAGTTTTAAACACGCATGTTTCAGTTTATAAGCAGTCTCGAATCTATAAACAGGTAAGGTACTACAGTTTGCTGCTCTGTATAAGTTCATACAAGCAGGGTACAGCTTTTTTCTGCAGTTTTGATTTCCTTTTTTTCTCAACTCATTCTCAAGTTCGATGCTGACATGTTATGTTTGATTTGCCTGATGCAGGTCAGCGAGTTCCAATCAATTGAGAAGTTCAAGAATTTCAATACAAACAATCTGTAAGTCATGCTATCTTTTGTGTATTCCGCAGTGATGGAAGCGAGTTCTTGGCATTACGTGTATGTAATTTCAGTGAAGCAAGCACTGACATGACACATACAGGTGGGTAAACTTGAAGGCAATTCAAAGGCTTTTGGAAGCTGAAGATCTCAAGATGGACATCATTCCTATTCAAAAGGTACATAATCTAGATGCTTCCTGTATAGACTGGGCCCTAGTTTTTGATGTTTCTTGAATTTCAGGAAGCTGATGGAATGAAGGTTCTTCAGCTTGAAACCGCAGCTGGGGCAGCAATCAAGGTATTATTCTATTCTTTGCCTGACTTCTCGTCAAAAAGTTTATTTGTTGAAAATTTATCTTTTCAAGTTTGTGCGTCTCTTCTTGCATCAGTTCTTTGATAATGCAATCGCCATTAATGTACCTCGGTCGAGGTTTATACCAGTGAAAACCACCTCAGATTTGCTTGAGGTTCAGGTTAGTATCTTGTTCTAGTCCATGTTAATTTTTTCTTTTTAAATTAGAGAGATAGCATTAAAAAATGGAGCTCAGTGCATCTCTTACTGTCTTACAGTCAGATTTATATTCCGTGGAAGGTGGCCTTGTTGTCAGAAGAAATTCGTCAATCGAATCGGGCCCCGAGCGTGAGAAGGTGAGGATTTACTTGCATTAATAATGCCATTACATGCCTCTTTTGGGAGACTTCATTTGTTATGATTTCCGTAGGTTGACAATTTCGGGAGCATGTTAAGCTTAATTTCTAGCATCAAGGACAATTTCGAGGTGTCTGGTAATCTGTCTGTTGGCTCGCTTCTCAATCTCAAGGTAATTGTTCAGTGTCATTTTTTCCTCTTGACTAACACATCAACAGAAGCTAATACTCCCTAATTCATGTAGGGATTCAAGACCAAGGTCAAGGTGGAAATCCAAAATCGGGCGGCAGCTATGAGCAACAAGCTAGAATGGACTCTGCATCCTATATTTGCGAGGCTGTCAGTGCCCATTTGTCTGTTTGGAGTTAAATTTCTTATTGTGGTGGAAGTCCATGGCCCTGAGGCCTCTAATGACAATACTTGAATATTGCAATTTTGCTTTCGAGAATTGCCGCCACTCGTTTGCTCCAAATGAAACATTCTTCTTCTTCTTTTGGGATTAAAATAAATGCTTGCTCGTTTCTTGCGCTTCAAGCCTTTGTCTGGTGTGGAGTGTGACAATAGTACGTCTCCGTGTTCCCCTTCTTGAAAGTAGTTTCAGACTTGGAACTTTCGGATAGTGCATGGACCAATCAGGTGCACCCACTTGCAACGCGAAAGTAGTTTCTCGCATATCTGCGGCTATAGGGCGGCGGTGATCATACAGAGGACTCAAACTGTAAGTGTGTGTACACGCACTGTTATGGATTATTTTACTCGATTATTTAACATAATGGAAAGTGATCTTTGTCTAACGATTCGCGATAGCATTAAAACATGAAGATGTGTACAAGGGGTAAATATAGTTCAGATGTTCTACCTTTGTGTTCTGCATCAGTGTAAGCGAGTCATGTCTTGTATTGCCAACTCCAGTCTTCTCTTTCAGTGCCACTAGACTGCGAAAGGGAAGCAAATTGAGTCCTCGTGAATTTGGTGTAATTAGTTTTGCAAATGTCATAGTCCCTGCTGCTTCTTTTTCCAGTGGGGTCTCAATATAAGTGGATGTTGAGACGGAGGATTTCACGGATTGTTGGGAGGCTGAATCAATGACTTAGCTACATCATCTGGTATAAGTGCATTTGCTTGTATAGCTGTGTTCCTGCAATTCTTCATTTGTGCTGTGAAGTAAACCTGACAATTTGAAAGTCGAGAGTTTTCAAGTTTATAGCAGATAGTCTTGGCTTAGCACGCAATTCCTTCTTCTGTAAGTGCGACTCAATTTATGATAAAGTGGACTCTTTTGTAATTTTGGTCACGATGGAAGGAGGAAAAGAGGACTTTAACAGAGTAAGTTGTTGGAGGAGGATACATGCGCCACTTTCATTCTCTTTTGAGATGTATTTATTTGGGGAACTACAAGGGGTTGGAGATGGATGCACTGGTGTCATTGGGCCTTAGGAAGGATATACCAGTCCGGTTTGGGAAGACACCACCAGTAAGTTGATTTGGTGTGCATACCTAGAGAAAAAGCTAGAAGCAAACAAACACACTTATACCAGATGATGAAGCTAAGTCACCACGAGCATCACCGATTAGGTAACGATCCTATCCATGTTAATTTGAATATTTCATTATCTAAATTAATGGATATCGTTATCCAATTGAGTTATCAAGCGATATGCATATCTCCAAGATTCTTCAGATACCCTAAGCAAGCTTTTCCTAATTCGACAGCGTACCATGGTTAACAGTCCAATCTCATGTCCGAGATATGACTCACCCAATCCCATGCTCGGGATACGATTCGCCAGTTTTATCAGTTATCAAATTTGAATAAATTGTGCTGGTTTTCAAATATTTTTTTATGCCCGCAGAATTACCCGATTAATTGTTGTGAATATTATCTTTGAGTTATAGGTGATATCATCTTTCCCAAAAATTTGAAAATACCAAAAAAGATTTAAAGTGGTAGTTTATTATAGAATTAGATTTAAAATCTTCCCGATAGGATAGAATAGCTTTGGATAGGATTATAATTCAAACTTTCATGATAGATTGAATAGGATCATTTTAGTTAGAGTTTGCATTCTAGGATATTACCCATAGTGAAGATAGGATTTTGATCTAAATTGGGATTAAGATATGTTAACTCCTAATTTGAATTAAATAATATCCAACTATAGATAATTAATCCTCCTCAATTTTTAATTTCGAATTTTAGTGAAAAAATACCAAAAATATTTTCTTAAAATAGGTTATGATTACATGTTTAGTTTAGAAATTTTAATTTCGAATTTTTAATTAATAAATAAAAAAATACCCCTCACATGTCATTTAGTTAATTGCATGTCTTAAATTAACTTAATTAGCTCACATACCATGTTAGAATAGATCATGTAGACTATAGTTTAGAATTGGGTTCGCATATCATGCACTGCATAAAGCCTAGTTTTAATAAAAAATTAAAAAAACCAAATAAAAGATTTGTTTAGAAACCATGGCTAAGATATGTTTAGTCTTTATTTCATCAATTTTTATCTAGGTATTTAAATTATTGTTTCGGTGCAATCTATAAAAATGCTTTGGTTTATTGAGTGTTTATTTAATGTCTTCGCACCCACGTGAACACCTCACATATTAGAAGATAGATCTTTAACATGAATCCAAGATGCCTGAGAAACATTTTCTTCTTGAAATAAAAGAGAAATGTACTGAAAGAGTGTTAGTCAATCCATAATCTTTAGTTCATAAAAGTAAAGTAAATCTTCCAATATTTCACTTGGGTTTCTAATCAATCCACCAAAAAATAGATTAGTAGAGACTTTTAATTGAAATGACAACTTAAATCGTAAGTCGCAAATTGGTATGAGCTTGGCAGAGCTCGAATTAAGTCTAGTCTTGACAATCCATTAGCCAAACTCCTAGGTGATGCACCATTCAGTAGGTCGCGAGAGCTTGGCTACTTCGCTGAACTTGAAAAAATTTGTATTGGACTTAGGCCAATTTTCTCTTTTTGAAAAAAATATTTTTACTTGGCTGCGAGGATTCTAAATACATCGGTGTTAACTGTTCTTGCATATGGGAGTTGTAAGGGGTGGTGTGATCGTTAACCTGTTGAATGTTTTATGCACTGTTTGCATATGAATTGTTGTGCATGCCTATGCATTTCCACTACACTCTAGCACACACAATCTACCGCCACACCGAGTCGCATAAGATCATGGTATTGAGATGGATATCACTCCGACTGACCGCGATGCAAGTCACACATCTCAATCTCGAAATTTCTTTCTTGGTGTCGAGAGTACCCACCACTTTGCTTGCCATAGGTCGGCTTTTCGACCAAGCCGGAGTCATGAGGACTTGACTTAGTCTGCATGCCTGCGGCTAGTCCGATCTAAGAATGAGCATGGTCCGGGTGAGCGATTCCCACCCTAGAATTGGGAACCGCCCACTAAGGACTAATCCTGAAAAATTAAAATCGGAAACCGCTTGTTGGTTCCATGGATCCACTCGGGAATCAGTCCCATCAGCCAAGGACAGAGATGGAGAGATGGAAAGTCGAAGACGGTGAGGTGAGTATCGACCGAGAAGTAAGAGAGTGAGAGTGAGAGTGAGAGTGAGCGTGAGCGTGAGACGAAAGCGAAAAAGGTGTTTCTCAGCTCAGCGTGAGGTTATGAGCGTCAAGCGAGTTAGGTTTAATTTATGAATTTATGATTTTTCTTCTTTTTTTAATTAAAAATTAAATAAATATATTATATTATTATTATTATTATATTACCAGTCCGGTCCGGTCCGAGTGGGCGGGTGGGCAATTCCACACCTGAAACCAGGAACTGGACCGGTTTTCTTAGGAACCACCTGTTTCGAGGGGTCCGGGCGGTTCCCTATTATTTTTCACACCCCTAATTCGATCATCCTTGTGACTCCACTTTGTTAAGCCTTCTAGAATAAAAATTGAGCCATGTAACATGGGTATGTCTATGAGATTCCCATCAGGGTCATCGGTGAAGTAAGTCTTCTAATCCTCAGTCTTGCAATTTACTTACTTTACTACAGATCTCTGGTCAGTCCATGTAGTCTAGGTTAGTAGTGGATTCAATGTCATTCCACTATGAATAACCTTAGTGTTTTTCAAAAAAGAGGGAAAATAAAGAATCGAGATTTTTTGTGAATTCAATTCAAATTTATGTTATCTTTTCATCAAACATATCATGAGTCTTGCTTTCCTAAGTAATTTTTTTTTATGCCATGGTTTTTCCGAAGAACTCATTATTAGTCAATTTCTAAGAAAAATCGGAAAAATGGACTGGGGAGTGAAAAAAAAATGGAAAAATGAAAAACGACAACTAGACTGAGTCTTGGACTGGTCATTTTTTAGGTCGTATACTTATTATGTTCCATTTTTGAACTACGTAATTATGGTCCTGTACATAACATAGTAGGAAGAAAATTGCCATCATTTACAACATTTGGAGACTATTTTGACATGATCCGATTATTCTTAGACAAAAAACTTAAAATCAAGTAGTTAACATTTAGAAAAGGTTAAAACTGCTCCGCTCACATGTGACCGCCTAGGAACACCACCACATACCACCACCACGTAATTCTCCAAAATCGCACTCTATCTGTTAAATATATTTAAATTATTTATGATATCTCATATTATGGATATCTTTTTGATAGATTTTAATTGATATTTTAAATATCTTTTTGATTGTTTATAATATTTTACTACGGTAGAGAGTCATTCTATAAAATTTATGAATAGACTTATATACTTTTTATTATTATATATAGAAATATACAGAATTCTCGATTCACTTTTCCGGATCATTCTCAACTATGTCCTCGCACGAGCAAGCCGTAGTCTCTCTCCTCTCCAACATCGCCCTCTCAATCGACGGCGCCGCCGTCCTCGGCCTGACCCTTGCTTACGCCGCCGCCCGCACGATCGTCAAGTTCACCTCCAGCTCCTCCGCTCTCCGCAAGCTCCAGGACGCCCCGTCGGTCCTAGCTTCCGACCTCCGGTCCATGCTCGATGTCGAAGGCGGTTCCGATTCGTCGAGCCGGTCGGAAAGAGAGGTGTTCGTGATCGTGCGCGGCTCCGTGATGGCGAAATGGGCTGCCGAAGGAGGGAAGTGTGGCAGCTTGAGGGAGAATGTCTTGTTCTCGCATATCTCCGGTGATAGGGCGGCGGTGATCATACAGAGGACTCAAACTGTAAGTGTGTACACGCACTGTTATGGATTATTTTACTCGATTATTTAACATAATGGAAAGTGATCTTTGTCTGACAATTCGTGGTAGCATTAAAACATGAAGATGTGTACAAGGGGTGAATGTAGTTCGGATGTTCTATCTTTGTGTTCTGCATCAGTGTAAGCGAGTCATGTCTTGTATTGCCAACTCCAGTCTTCTCTTTCAATGCCACTAGACTGCGAAATGGAAGCAAATTGATAGTTGAGGTATCGAGGAGTCCTTGTGAATTGGGTGTGATTAGTTTTGCAAATATCATAGTCCCTGCTGCTTCTTTTTCCAGTGGGGTCTCAATGTAAGTGGATGTTGAGACGATGGAGGATTTCATGAATTGTTGGGAGGCTGAAGCAATGACTTAGCTACATCATCAGGTATAAGTGCATTTGCTTGTATAGTTGTGTTACTGCAATTCTTCATTTGTGCTCTGAAGTAAACCTGACAATTTGAAAGTCGAGAGTTTTCAAGCTTATAGCAAATAGTTTTGGCTTAACAGAGTAAGTTGTTGGAGGAGGATACATGCACCACTTTCATTCTCTTTTGAGATATATTTATTTGGGGAACTACAATGGGTTGGAGATGGATGCACTGGTGTCATTGGGCCTTAGGAAGGATATACCAGTCCGGTTTGGGAAGACACCACCAGAAGTTGATTTGGTGTGCATACCTAGAGAAAAAGCTAGAAGCAAGGGGAAGATCAATATTTAGGAAGTACAGAGGAAAATCTAGGATTCGGGGTCTCCCTGCTGTTCGGTGTCCTCTCATATTTGAGGGACTTTTGCATGCACCGGGTGCCTATACCCTTCTCTCCCCTAATTGTGAGTTTATAGTTGAGTGCGTCCACATATCCTGTCATCTGCTTCGGGGGATCTTACTCGAACTATACGATAAGTTCTTTTTTTATTTTTTTCTTTCTTTGTAGAACTATAATATCAATGAAAGGACAGGTCTTAGTTATGTGGAATCCTCTAATGGAGTAATTATAACTGCAGTTAATGCATTAAAATGCCGTAATTACTCGTGCCAATTATGGTTTTTCTGCAACGGATCTGATAAGCTTGATCTTCTATTTTCCATTATGAAGTGCATATACAATGAGTGGAAGAGATTTTTTGGATGGACTTCAGATCTACTCGCTATCTTGTCAAGATCCTTGCGAAAACGAAAATCCTCATCACTAAGAACGGTACGTAGAATTGTTCCAGAGGTTGGTTCTTATATTGAAGCTATATTTTTGCTGGAAAACTGCTGTTAAAGCTAACATTACTTGTTCTTTGAGTGGGTTTACTTTTCACAATGTTTGTCTTCAGCTAGGAACCATGGACCTCCTTCTGGTTTAAGGGGTATTATCACATTTTTATTTTTGACCTTGACACTGGAAATGTCTGGGAGACTATATGTACAACCGTGATTGTAGACATGTTAAAATTGGTGTTGCCATGGGACATCATATGGTGTCCATGTCCTGAACAACGGGATGTCCCAAATTAAAAGGCAGGGAGATTTCTATTCTTTTAGAAGCATTCTGTTTCTTGAAAGCAGGTAAAAGTAGATATGTTTAGTCATGGTAGAAGGGAGGTTACTGCTTTTCTTAAATACATGTGCAGTTGGTGAAGCTAAAGATATTGAGAGATATAAGGCAACTTGACAAGGATTAGCTTTTCAGTCTTGAGCATTTAGTTATTGCTTCTGTTCTTGCATTGTGCACTGGAGATTTGAGATTTCAGAAGCCAGAGGTTCCTCTTTTTTTGGCCAACAGAACTGAAGATTCCTCAAGAAAAGTTTGCATAAATCATCTTATTGAGATTGTCTTTATATATATATATATATATTAATTTCTGTAACAACTTTTCCTGTTGTTGATGCTCTTAACTATGTACGATGAAAAATTTGGCTTGGATGTTTTCGAACAGAGCAGTCAATTATTGGCTTACTGCTTTAGCTGTCGGACTTGCTTACATCTGTTAGTATGACTGCAGATTCCTTTTGTGCTACTTAATGGCAGTCCATTGCCAGTAGGGAATTATGTCGTTGTGAACATGGATGGTTCAAAGCATCATCTACCTCTTACCACAGTATTTCAACAACTGCAGCCGATTAATACATCTCCTTGCACATTCCTTCAGGCAATTTTTGGTCATGAATACCCTGTAAGTTTGCAATGTATAATGACATTCACTTCTTGATGCAGATGGGTAACTGTGATGTTTCTTGCACCTTGAAGATCTTCAGGATAATCTAGACCTTGCCGTTCCTTCAATTGTGTACTTTTGATGCATTCACTTTGATACAAGTATCTGACCCGATGCTCTTCTCCCCCTGTTTTTGAAGGTTGCACTGCTAGATGAGGAGAAAATTCTTCCAATAGCAAAGCATGTCACTGCTGTCGGCCATTGCTTTTTGAAAAATGGCATTCCGGAGATCAAGTCATGCAGTGACCTTCCATATTTCCTGTGAGTGTTCCTCTCATGGTGATGGATGGACATTGGATTGGTCTTGATGCTTGCTTGAGGATATTCTTTTCTCGTTTGTGGACTTATTACCCATGTGCACTTTTTCTTTTATTATAAATCGACCCATGTGTACTAATTTATTCGCTCTAATTTTGGTCAAGGTTTCTGGAAGGATTTGAATATGTAGTGAATTTCCTGTTTGGAAGTCTGTCTGGTTGCATTTTGCATAACATGGAGAGTTCAGCAGTTGTGTGATTTCATGGATTTTTGGGTGATCTGCACAACCACCTATTATTCTAGTATTTCTCCCCTTACCTATCAAAAGAAATTGTGGCGCCTCTCCCTGTGATGCTTGTCATTTGTTTGAGTATGAAATGTTGTGCAATGAACAGTCCACTTCGCATGACTCAAGTTATTGAGAATTGACCATTTCATATTTCCCTATAGGGTAGTCGACATAATTATGCTTTAAAGTCTATTACTTAGATTTTGCGCTGGCAGCCCTTCCTTGACAGTGTCATTTACTATTGAATGGACTGTGCTTTGACATGTTTCAGTACCGAGATGACAAAAGATCAGATGGTGATTGTTCTTGCCTTCCAGACAAAGATACTCTTCTGGAGTAGTATTTTTCTTGGATCGGCATCAATTGGTATCCTTGGATTTGCTTTTGTGAGGTTGGTTGCTATCGATCAAGTAATTTGTAATCCTTATTCTATATCCTGTTGACTTCAATACGTGATAATCTTTGACTTCACTGGACTTATGCTGAATATTCTTTCCTCAGAAATTGGTACAGATGGAAAGAATGGAGGCAGCGTAGACAGCATGAGCAGTTGCAGCAGAGCCGTGCTGCAGTTGACGAGCCCAACACTCCCATTGCAGAGGATGGATCGGAAGATGTACCAGATAGACAGTTATGTGTAATTTGTTTAGTGAGGAGGAGGAGATCCGCTTTTGTTCCATGCGGTCATCTTGTGTGTTGTCATCGATGTGCATTATCTGTGGAACGGGAGGTTTCACCAAAATGTACTGTTTGTAGGCAGACGATCTCCAATTCAGTCCGGATCTATGATTCTTGAGTATATTATTGATTCTGTTTCTGTTAGTCAAAGGGTGGGAAGATGTAATTGTTAGCTTTTCTTCCTTGAAATATTCTTAGAAAAAGAGCATGCCCATCCTTTAATAGAGAGACCACAGTGAACTGGTGATTATTTCTTGTGTAAACGAGTAACGATGCTCCGCACGTATCTCCTTCCGTGAATATAGTGTTATTCTGTAAATTGAGTCTTGTTAATTATTTGGACATTTACCAGAAGGCAAATCAGGAGGATGCAATTCATGCTTCTGATTGGGCATGAATACTGATGGCAAGCGTGCATGATGTTGATCTCTTCCTCATCGCATGGAGATGGTTGCACTTGGCTCCTTCTTTCTTCTTGTTTTCCAGCGCCTTCAATTTCTTTTTCAAGGGGAAAAAACATTAGACGGGCGAATTGCCTTTTCTTTTTCTGCCTGTGAAGACTGGAGCAAAATCCATCAAGTAACTTAGTAGGCATTTTTTTCCAATTTTAGTTTTTATCTTGTCTTTTGCCTCAACGGACTGGTTTAGTTCTCAACATTGCCAAAAGAATCAGATGATACGTTCGAACAAGCAATGTAAGGAAAGAATATTTGTTAATTCAACTTTGGCGAAAGCATAATTAACATCAGTAACAACTCAAAAGCATTACCGAGAGCTTTGTGACTGGCAAACTCTTGTGACAAACTAGCTTTTGATGTTGCTAAACCCCTTATGCGAAAGTTTTCAGCTAACTTCCTTGGCTCTGGCATGGATAAACTCGGACTCTCACTGTCAAGTATGAACAAATGGCTGAAAATGTCACTCTCACTGACAAGAAGACTAATCAGTATGCATGGAAGGTGGCATATTGCAGTTATCAGATTAAGAATGAGCTTTTACCATTTTGATCACAGGTAATGTTCACAATGAATATTCAATCCAAATCAAGATGATGTACAACAGTACCATAATCTAGCAGAAGAATCTTGATTTGTCTCCCGCATTCATTTTCAGTTACCAGATCAAGCAAATCGCCATCAAGACCTCCTCAAAGAGGAGGAGAGCGCCGCATGATGGTTCTCCTCAGCCTTTTTCGACAAATCATCTTTTTTTGGCTCTCACCGCGAGCACATGGTAGGAGCCTGGCTCAGCTTTCTTCTCTGGCCGACTTACCTGCTAGCCGACTCTTAAGGCTAACTCTTGTGGCAACAAGGAGAAAGCACAAGAAATCCCACTTATCATCCGATGAGCCATCTCCAGGCATTTTGGGCCCTCTTCCTTCTCTTCTACCTCGGTGTTACCGACACTGTCACGGCTTACTCCTTGGAAGACGATGACCTATGGCTGAGCTTACCAGCTTGGGATTGCTGGTTACGTGCTCTATTTGTCCTAAAAAGCCAATTCTTGCGTCTGTTCGATTCTAGTGTTTATAGCAGGACTTGTTAAGTATGGGGAAAGGTCTTGGGATCTCAAATCCTCAAACTCAAGAAAATTTATGAACGTCTCACTCTCGCTCTTTGATCCATCCTGCCATTACAATGAATTCATCCAAGAAGAGACCCCAGGACAGATTAAACGAGATGCTTATTTCAGTTCTGAGGCAAGCAACATCCGAGAAGCTTATTACTTGTTTATGTTCGCATACTTTTCAGCTGATGTGATCGTGAACTTCTTGCAAATGCAAGATGGGTTCTCAATCATCAGAAAAATGTTGGGGGCAGCCGCCTTTAAGCCAGTTGAAACTGAGTTAGGCTTCTCGTACGACGTCTACAAAACAAAAGCAACTTCAGTTCACTCAAGTAAAGGTTTCTTTCTCCATTTCGTTAGTTTCCTGTTCTCTGTCTCTGCTTTAGTTTCTTTGAAAATCCTTGCCGACAAGCGCAGCTACTCGAGGGTTGATAGAGGCATAACTCTCTCACTTCTAGTTGGGGCTATTGTTTTGGAGATCTATGGCGCATTATTACTGACTTTTTCTGATTGGACATTGTCTCGGTTGGCTGATCGATACCATCCACAACCTACTATGATTACAGCAGCTTTTCTTTTTATCTTAGACCAGAATTTCTCAATGTTACTAGTTTAAGAGATGGTCAGGATCAATGTCACAGCTAGATCTAGTAAATCTCTATCTAAAGGCACATGCAGGCAAGTCTCAAGGAATTGATCTCTTTATCCTAGCTGCATTGTTGAGAGAGAAGCAGTCAATGACCGACTCATGCGGAGGTGAACAATAGAGTGAAAGAACTAATCATTGTCCAGCTCTTGGACAAACACTGAGACTGGTATCGAGTGGAATACAACATTTTTAGGCAAATTAGTGATGGCCATGGTGATTACACACTCCGGTCTAAAACTCCAAGGATAGGGCTTGGAGCAAATGAGATAATTAATATGACGGAAGCATTCTCAGTGGCATGCGGCAACAGATTTATGCTATCACAACGATCTTGACCACAACGACAATGAAGAAGCTGGAAACCCTAGATCGCATTGCCAAAATTAGCAAATTTCTCTCTGATTAGATGCTCCACCTTCTTAACATTTACCCAACTATGCTCCCAAAAGGTAGTGTGGAGAAGAGGTATCTAGTATCCACGTGACAAATTTCCCATGCCTCGAAGGATAATCTAGCTTGCAGGGAATTGCTTCAACTTTCAAGCTCCTCATGGAAGGCTCGTGCAATCATTTAGTGTCCCTTGCATCTAAGCTTGTCAAGTCATTACAATTACGTGTATCGGAGGGGAAATGAAGCAGGGAAGAAATATGGGAGTTCATACGTTGTGTTTGGGTGTAGATGTTGGGTTATGTTGCGAGCTGGAATGAGTGGAAGCAGCATGCAGAGCAGCTTGCACGAGGACTAGGACTGGAATTGGCAGCCTACATTTCGTTCCTTATGATGCATCTTAATTTGTACGAGCAATTTGAGATTCTGCGTAAATACCCAGGAGAGCCTAAGAAGTCCTTTCTCACCAAGATATGCCCTACTCTGTCTGGCGGGCCTAAGTAGAGACCTGGTCACCATGGAAGTGAAAATGGTCTGTGCACCTGAGGCTGGCAGATCTCTACCTTTTTACACAATCTTTTCCCTCTTTGTTATGCCATACGCTACAATGACTGTTTTCTCTGTTCAGCTACCAGAAATATAGCAGTTCAATAGAATTGACTGCTTGAACTGCTAGTTTTTGCTTCGTGGAATCACCATAGGATCAGAACATTTTGAAACGACATGAAATGGATCAAAACCTCAGCTGAATTGGGCCACTAGTCGAGCTGGTTCTGTTCTTTTGTGCACACAATTGACGAGGTACAGCATCAACAAACTTTTTTCCAGGAAAAACATAGCTAAAACAATGTTTCAATTGCATTATTAAAACGTAGAAATGGCTTCCACATTAGCAACAAGAAGAAAACACACCCACAACAACAAATGTCATTACTCTAGAAAACAATCTGTAGCTGAGCTTGGCTTTGTTTAGCCAGTTCCACCAAGCACAGCCTTGAGCTTCTTCACTTGGGCATCATCCAGGAAAGTGTTCTTCTCCACCAACAGAGATGGCAAGTTATAGCCAAACAATGCGAAATCGAGGATTTGGAGGCCAGGATTTGCAGTGCTGAAGCTGACCACAGCGCTGGACGTGGACCTGCCTGCATTGACTTGGAAATGAAGCAATCCCTGTGCGAAAACCATAATGTCTCCTTTCTTCAGGGTCTTCACATAAACATCACTGGCTGAAGAAATGAACCCTGCCAATATTTTACTGTGAACCACAAACAAGAGCTCCGATGTGCCTGGGTGGGTGTGCAGGGGACGACGCCGGACGGTGCCAGGTCCAATCGGGCTGCTGAGATGCCGAGCCCATTGAGGCGCAGGGACTGGCCATCGAATGCAGGGGTCCCAGCTGCTTTGATGATGTTGGTGGTGTTACCAGCTACTCCTAGTCTTGAAAAAACAAAGTCATTGACGGTCACCTTTTTAGGGCTCTTGCAAGGGAAGTCCGCCGGGGTGTCTGGCCCTTTGAGGTTTGCAACACAGAAGTCCCGGACAGAGGCATGAGAAGAGGAGAAGAGGAGGGATAAAAAGAAGAGAATGCGAAGCATGTTGGTTGGTCCTTTTTCTTTGCCTTCAGGTCACAAGATACGGTACGTAGTCACTAAAAGTCGCATATGGATTATATAGGAGTTGTGCACGAATAGGATCCCAGTTGAACTGAGAAGACCGGATCATGCAGGATATAGTGATTACTCTGCATTGCAAGAGAGCCACGAGTCTTTTGGGCTGTGAAGAGCCGAGGCATCTTCATTGAACCCAGAGAGAGAGAGAGAGAGAGAGAGATGCTCAAGGCTATGCCATGTTGGAGAGGTTGGCGGTTTATTGAAGCTGCAGGATAAACACAGGAAGGCTCTTTTAGTAGTTAGGGATTTCAGTGCATGGACGAGCCAATTGATCCTTGAAAGTCCCCTCCTATATCAAACAAGGAAAAAGCATAATACTAGAGGCTAATCATTTTGGTGGGTCTTGCTGGATATCTTTGCTGAAATGACACTCCATTTAGGACCTAATGCATTCCCTCATCTAATGTTGATCATAGCATTAATGAAAATAAATGAGACGTATACATGGAAAGTAGAAAACCATTTTGGCTAGAGATAGTGAGATTTTGTAAAATCATTGTTAATTATCCTAAAAACTTAAGTTGTTAGATGTGGTTTATATTTCATTCTAACAAAGATTAACAAAAGAAAGACGCCATATGTCTAGACCTGTTAAACAGGTGGGTCGGGTCGGATTTGGATTGGATCATAAATGGTCCGACCCAAATTAACCTATTAATCCGTTTATTACCCATTTATTTGTAATGTAAATATCTCGACCCATGCTCGACCCGACCCATATTGCTAAAACACTTCTATATTTAACTCAATCTGAGAAAACTTGTTTCTTATGATTTTTTTAAAAAATTATACTACTAAAACATTTCCATGCAATACAAAGCTAGTGGACAATTTTTATAATTTTTTTTTAAAAATTGAGACTCCGTTTGTTTAGCGGAAAATGCAATATTTCTAAAAAATATTTTCCATGAAATCATTTTCCAAGAAAATGACAAAATTTTTTAGTATTTGGTTAAAGCCTAAAAATGAATTAGAAAATATTTTCCGACGATTGGTATATAAAATCTGATTTGATTTTACTTCGTGCACTCATTCTCATAATTTTAT